CAAAAACAAGCAAAAGAAAAAAAAGAATGATACGATGGAAAGATAGAACTTGATTAAGCATCATAGATGGAGCCACAAGAATGATCTCCTCAGGCTGGTCTACTTGCTCCACATAATGTTTGAACCATTGTCCAATAATTTGGATGACTCTCCCAAGAATGCACACTTCAATCCTTCAAAAGGTGGGGATAACTTTGTGCTTGGCATCTCCATTAAAAATGGCTTCAAATGTTTCCTATCATATATCAACTCCTCAAAGTGTAGCTGTAAAAATTTTCTATGTTTATCTTGCATAACATTAGAAATAGAAGAAACATTAGAATGATCATTTAAAAAGTCATCATCCAAATCAAAGCCACCAAGGAGGTATTTTAAAGATTCAGAACTTTCCCTTTCATATACTTCCTCAACCAATGAATCTATCATGTAGGTTTGATAACACTCATCATCATCATGTAGTTGCTTCCCAACATGAAAAATATTCACCTCAAGAGTCATATTCCCAAATGAAAGTTTCATCAAACCATTCCTACAATTAATAAGAGCATTAATAGTAGCAAGAAATGGTCTTCCTAAAATAAGTGGAATCTTTGACTCACTATTAACTTCAGATTGAGTATCTAAAACAAGAAAATCAACATGATAATAAAATTTATCAATCTGAAGCATAACATCTTCTACTATCCCTCTTGGTTTCCTACAAGAATGATCAACCAATTGTAACACCACAGATGTGGGTTTTATCTCTCCAAGACCTAGCTGCAAATAAACTGAATAAGGCATTAAATTCACACTTGCTCCTAAATCTAAAAGAGCTTGACCGAACTTTTGTGACCTAATTTGGCAAGCAATTGATGGGCACCTTGGATCTTTGTGCTTTGGCGGTGTTTTTTGCTCAACTACCGCACTTACCTGTTCTGTCAAGAATGCAGTTTTCTTGACATGGTGTTTCCTTTTCATGGTGCATAGATCCTTAATCACTTTGGCATAAGTTGGTACCTATTTATTCACATGCAACAAAGGTAGATTAATCTTAACTTGTTTCAAATTTTCTAAAATCTAACCTTGGTTGTCTGAAATCTTTCTAGTTTTAAGAGCTTGAGGGAAAGGAACTTGAATTGGGACCTCCTTCTCAAGTTCTTCCAACGGTTCGTCTTCATGGCTAGTTGGAGTAGCATCCTTCAATTGAGGTATTTTTGCAACGGCTCTATAACTTTACCAGTACAAGTAGTGATTGCGTTAACCCCTTTAATGTTCTCCGAACCAGAGGTAGATTCCTGCACCAAATGTAAATTTTTAGGATTAGTTTGAGGTTGAGATGGAATCTTACCTCACTTTTGGATAGTAAGAGCATTGGTCAACTTAGTTAGTTGACTCTTGATATCCTTGTTTTCTCCAACCACCTATGTAAGAATAGAATCAAACTTTTGGTTAGTCTTATTTTGTGCCTCCATAAATGCCTTAAGTGTTTCCTCTAAAGGATTTCTATCTGGTCGTGCATTACACTACTAGAAAAATGATTAATTCAAACCGATCATATACGGACCGAAGGATGTCGGTCCGAATAAATAACTATTCACACCAATATCGGTCTGAATATATTAAGGTAGTACCAAATCCTTTAGACAAACTATTCGGACCGGTTTCGGTCCGTATATTTATGGCGGGAATTAACAGTGCAAACTCACCATTAATGTTCAGACCGAACATGGTCTGAATAGTTTTCCCGTAAAAAATAAATATTAAATAACAAAAATTAAGAATAAAATATTATTAAACTGAATATATACGAACCAAAATCGATCCGTATATATCACTCAAAAAATGCCGATGTTCATTTCATATTCGGATCGGTTTCGGTTCGAATATCCACACATATTCAGATCGAAGATCGTCCAAATATTTTTTCTTAAAGAATAAATATTAAATAACAAAATTAAGAATAAAATATTATTTAAATAAATATATACGGACCAAAATCGGTCGGTACATATCATAAGAAAAGTGCCGAGTTTCATTGAATATATAGACCGTTGTCGGTCCGAATATTGTGGACTTCCAGACCGTTGTCGGTCCGAATATTGAACATATACAGATCGAAATCGGTCTGAAAATAGGCGTCAGAGATTCCCTGAATCGATGAGACGTTGGGGCCCACTACCAAATGTATACAGACCGATATCGGTCCGTATAAGATTGCATGTAGCCTTCATCCTCTCGGTGCTCGTCCCCTCCCCTATTGCAATCTATCTACGATTTTCCTCTATTTTTTTCTTCCTTTTTTCTTCCTCTACGCTGCAAGCTTCTCCTCCTCCAATCTCTAGCCAACCACAGAGGTA